ATCTGCTTAGGGTTACGGCCCCCAGCTTCATCCATTTTGCTGTAAAGGATATGATTTCATTCTCCATTTAAAAAAAATAACAGCTTTATTGAGATACAATTCACATATCACCCATTTCAAGTGTACAGCTCATTGGTTGTTAGTGTGTTAGCAGTTATGCAACCATCACCAGTATTTGAATATTTTCTTCACCCCAAAAAGAAACCTCCTACGTATTAGCTGTCACTGCCCATTCCCCTCTCAAGCCCTGGAAACCGCTAGCATTTCTGTCTCTCTAGGTTTGTCTATTCCAGATATTTCAAATGGAATCATACAATATGTGGCCTTTTTTGTCTGACTTCTTTCACTTAGTACAGTCCTTTCAGATTTTATCTATTTTGTAGCATGTGTTGGTGCCTTTTTTTTTTTTTTTTTTTTTTCTTTTTTTACTGATCTATTTAGTATAATGTTTTTATGTTTCATCTATTTTTTAGTTTTTTTTTTTTTTTTTTTTTTTTTTTTTGCTAAATAATATTCCATTGTATGGACATAGCTCACATTTTTAAAATTCATTTATCAGTCGATGGTCATTTGGGCGTTTCCCCCTTTTGCTATTATTAATAATGCTACCATCAACATTAGTGTTCGTGTTTTGTGTACATGTTTTCATTTTTCTTGTGTTCGTACTTGTGAGTGGGATTTCTGGGTCATTTGATAACTCTGTGTTTAACCGTCTGGGGAACTCCCAGACTCTTTTCTAAAGCAGCTGACCATTTATACTCCCACCAACCGTGTATGACAGCTCTGGTTTCTCGACCTCCTCATCATCCCCAGCATTCGTTGCTGTTTGTCTTTTTGGTTTTGGCCGTCCTAGTTGGTGGGAAGTGGCGTCTCGTTGTGGTTTGGATGTGCATTGCCCTGGTGGCTCGTGACACTGAGCATCTGTCTTTGCATGTGCTTTATGGCCGCTTGTACATCTTCTCCGAGGAAATGTTTGTTTGGATCCCTTGCCCACCGATGGGATGTGTTGGGAGACTGGGCCCTGTTCTTGGTTCCGCCAGCCTAGAGTGGAGTTTCTGTCGTGCGGAGCTGGGAAGGCGGCGGGACGGAGAGGACTGTGGCTGAAATGCCACCGACTAACGCTGTTCTTACTGAAGCTTAGTAGATTTTCTTGAATAAACATTTCTTCATTTGCTGTATACACTTAAGACAATTTCAGACACATTAAATGATTGTTTTTTAAATAATTGCTACAAGTTACGCCTGTTTCTCTGGGAATTGGTCTCCTTGGCAGCTCCTCACACCACTGTTCCAGAAGTCTGGAACACCGTTTTTACTCAAAAGAGTAACTACTGATACGCACACTATGATTAGGCCTGAGCATCTGGCAGGCATTTTCTTAGAAATGAGCAAAGGAAAACGACTGATGGCACTTGTCGCCATAAATTTGAGTTTTCAAGCAAAAATTGGAATTCTAAATTTTAGAAAACTTCATCCAAAACAGTATATCCCAGCAGTTTGAATGTACAAGCAGATAGGAGTATCTGTCTTCTAGTAAGGCAGACATTAAAGGATTTGCAAAAATGTAAAACAATGTCACTCTTGTTCCCAATTTTTCTTGTTTTAGAAAATACATTTAAAAAGACGTGCTAATTTGCATAGTTCTATTGTTATTTTAAATGAATTTATAAGTATTTTTAAATGTCCTGGTTTTAATTTCCAATATAGTAAATACTGATAAATGCACTCTACATAAAGTGCCTTGAGGTCCTGAATTTTTAAAAATATAAAGATCTAAGACCAAAAAGTTTGAAAACCACTTATCTCATAAAGATCCATATATAATCTCCCTTAGGTCAGTGGTTTCATACACACACACACACACACACACACACACACGCGCGCGCACACACACACACACACACACACACACTCACACTATACCAGATGAAGATGTATTCTTTAGAAGGGCACATAGAACAATTACACTTACAGACCATCACTAAATTTTTAAACAAATTTTAAATAGATTATATACTCAGACTGTATTTCTACCCTTAGTTAATTTAAAAATGAATAATAAAATACACCACCCCCATCACCACTATTACTACTAGCATTATGTGTTTGGAAACTACAGGATATACATATGCTTATGCCGTTAAGGCAATTTGATAACCTTAAAATAGAAAATATTTAGAACTGTTGTGGTTTTAGACAGTGAGTGGCCTACACTATCCCAAGTGAAATGACTCAGAAACAAAGTCCAGTGTCATGATTGCAAGTTCCCGCAATAGGCCATCTACAAGCTGAGGAGCAAGGAGAGGAGACCATCCGAGTCCCAAAACTGAAGAACTTGGAGTCCAATGTTTGAGGGCAGGAAGCATCCGGTACGGGAGAAAGATGTAGGCTGAGAGGCCTTCATTTCATGTTTTTCTGCCTGCTTTATGCTCTAGCTGTGCGCGTAGCTGATTAGATGGTGCCCACACAGATGAAGGGTGGGTCTGCCTTTCTCAGCCCGCTGACTCAAATGTTAATCTCCTTTGCCAACACCCTCACGGACACACCCTGGATCAATACTTTGCATCCTGCAATCCAGTCAAGTTGACAGTCAGTATTAACCATTACAATGTCCATTACATTGAGCTTGTTCATTATTTTGTTGAACATCCAGAATAATGTTTGGCAAAATACCTGGGTACTGTGGGTCAGCCAAGTTGTCACATGAAATTAACCATCACAACATCCCTCCCTCCCTCCTTTTCTCCATTCCTTCCATCCCTTCCTTTCCTCTTTCTTTTTTTGTTTTGTTTTTCGAGACAAGGTGTCCATCTGTTGCCCAGGCTGAGTGCAGTGGCATGATCACAGTTCACAGCAGCCTCAACCTCCCAGGTTCAAGCAGTCTTCCCACTTCAGCCTCCCAAGTAGCTGGGACTACAGGCACATGTCATCACCCATAGCTAATTTTTAATTTTTTTGTAGACACAGAGTTTTGCCACATTACCCATGCTGATCTCAAGCCATCTTCCCACCTCAGCCTCCCAAAGTGCTGGGATTATAGGCGTGAGCCACTGCCCACAGATTTTCCATCCTCTTACTTTCAGCCTTTCTCTGTTTTTATGCTTTAGATAAATTTCAGGTAAATAGCATAAAGTTAGATTTTGTTGTTTTTATCTGCTCTGACAATCTGCGTTTTAATTGGTTAATTTATCCTATTTGCATTTATTGCGATCATGTTTAGAGTTTTTTCTGCCATTTTATTTTGTGTTGTTTATTTACTATGTTTTTCTGATTTTCCCGATACCCTGCCTTCCCCTGCCCCTCCCCCCGCCCGCCAGCTTCCAATACACTGATTGTGAAGTAAACAAATATATACCTTTTTTTCCCTCTTCTATTGATTTGAAAGGTGGTCTGTTTCTTTTATTTGGTAATTGTCTTAAAAACTTAACAGGTATAATTGATTGAACAAAGTTTAAAAACAGCGTGGCAGAGTGTGGCCCACAGATTGTCTCCAGTCTAAGGACTGTTGCATATTAACTCACAATGTGATAAGCATAGAGATTGTGAGTAAGCATTTAGAAACAGATGGGTTCGTTTGATGTTGCCAGTACATCTAAGGATATGATCATTTTCCTAGTGATTCATTTTTATTATGTTTTAGAAAAGGTCAGTTCATGATGGACTGGGAAAAAAGTTGAGGAATAGATAGTTCGAAACAGATAGTTTGAAAAACACTAAAGTTCAAGGTTTCTAGCCTTCTCCCAAACAATGCAATGACGTTAAATTCTTGAGTGCGGTTTGCCCCTTTCCACCCTATGTGTTATTGTCATCTAGTGTTTTAGGCCCATTTGTAAACATACCTCTAAAATGTGTCATGTTATTTTTGTTTCTCTAAAAGGCATTGCTTAGATTTACCCGCGCGTTTACCAAACTTGATTTGCTTGTTATTTTTTAGTGCTGCTTTTTCTTTCCTCTGGATTCAAATCTCTTCTTTCTAAAATACCTCATTTGGTAACTTTTCCTTAAGGGTTTTTACTGATAAACTTTATTTTTGTTTTTTTAGAAAAGTGTCTTTATTTTAAATGACATTTTGCATAATTGTATAACTAAAATTATGCTATTCTGAAGTAATCGTTCTAAAACATTTAGTCTTCCTATAATGGTCTTTCAGTACTTTTAGAACGTTGCCCCACTGTCTTCTGCCATTCTGCTGTAAATGTCAAAAAGTCTAATTTGAGTCTAATTGCCATTTTTGAATAGGTGATCAGTCTTTTTCCTCGAATTTTAAAATCTCGTAGCTGGGCACAATGTCATGTGCCTGCAGTGTGGGTTACTGCGAGGGCTGAGGCAGGGGGAATGCCTGGAACCCCAGGAATTTGGGACTGCAGTATTCAGTGATCACACCTATTAATAACCACCACACTCCAGCCTGGGCAACATAGTGAGACCCCTCTTTTAAATTATATGTCCCCTTTAACTTTGTTGTTCTACAGTTTCACAAGAGTGTTTCTGTGTTTCATGAAACATCTCGAAAATGTTGCTTCCTGCAGCAATTTTCCTGTAGCAAAATACTGCCACTCGCAGCACCATTTGAGATGTATTAGCTGATAATTTTCTAGAAAGTATGAAAGTTCTGAATCAATAACTTTCATGCTTTACAGTTATGAGCTGTCTTTCAATTTTCATATTTTAACGTATGAAAGTTATTTTATAACTTTCATACCATAAAATTGATAGTTTTCTAGAAATATGAAAGTTTTGAAAGCAATAAAGCTGCCTCTTCCTAAGCTTTCCTTCAGTGAATCTTGGGTTCTCCAAGTCTCCCCTCTTAACTTCTTGTACATATTTTCCTTCGCTTGAGCTTTCTGTTTTGTGTTCTGAAAACCTTCTCCATACCGGTCACATATTCCTAATCCAAAATGAGCACAAGTGTTTTGGATTTGGACTATTTGCATAGCTGTATGGTTTGAGCGTCTCTAATCTAGAAATCTGAAATGCTCCAATGAGCATTTCCTTTGAACATCATGTCAGCATTCAAAAGGCTTCAGATTTTGGAGCAGTTTGGGTTTTGGATTTTGGATTAGGAATACTCAACCTATATCTGTTTTTCTACTTACTTGTTCCCTCTTCCTCTATTGCTTATCTACTGCTTAACCCAGTCTTTGAATCTTAAATTTCAGCAACCACGTTTTTTCACTTTTTGTATTTAAATGGAATTTTCTTTCAATTATTTACAGTATCTGTTTCCAGTATCTGTGTCCTGATCTTCTCTTTCCTGATTCCTCCTTCTATACCTGTAATCAATGTAATCATTCTTTTTTTGTGGTTTTTATTCTATAATTTAGTTACATGAAGTTCCTTGTATTTGTAGTTTGAGCCTGTGAGATACTCACCTTCAGAGTTATCTTTTTGTCTGTAGGGATGCTGCACCGTCTGTATTGAGGACATGTCCCTCATGCACAGTTTTATTTTTTATTCTTCCAGGTACCCTAAGGGTATTTCCCTCGGAGACGCACGCCTGTGTGTACGTGTGCGTGTACATGTGCATGCACATGTGTGTTTTCACTAAGGTTTCTGGACCTACAGTAGTTGTAAAGCAAACCATATACAAGCCAGACCATAGTTACTGATGTCAGGGATGTTTAGCTTGGACTCAGTGCTCAGGCCCTGCAAGTCAGGCCTCCTTGACTGTCCCCGGGTCAGAGTGGGCATAAATTCTACTCTGTTCCTGAGGGCACGGATGTGTTGTTTTCACGTTTCTTCTTGTGTCTGCCCCTACATGCTGTGGAAACCCAAGTTTCTGGGTAGCAAAATGGGCATGTTCTGAGGCAGCCACAACGCTGCAGGTTTAACTTTTTCTGTGTGTTTTTCCGCTGAGGAGCTTCCTGTTTCCTTACATTTTAGCTGTATACTATGTATACTGCACACATACATGCTGTGCAGGTATGTATATATGTATGTCATGAGTGAGTGAATGAGACAGGGTTTTGCTGTGTCAGCCAGGCTAGAGTGCAGTGGTACAATCACAGCCCACTGTAACCTCAGACTCCTAGGCTCACCAGTTCTCCTGCATCTCTTCCCACGTGGCTGGGACTACAGGCTCTTGCAACCACACCCAGCTGAATTTTTTTTATATATTTGTAGAGCTGGGGTCTCACTGCATTGCTCATGCTGGTCTCAAACTCCTGAACTGAAGGAATCCTCCTGCCTCGGCCTCCCAAAGTGCTGGGGTTACAGGTGTGAGCTACTACACCCAGCCTAATTTAGCTTTATTTGTAAGGGGATGCGGGCTCTATTTTATCAGCACATTTTCAGGGTGTCTATCCAGTCTCTAATGTTATATTACTGGACTGGAAGTCTCCCACAATGCATCTTTATCATCAGTAAAAATATGAGCATTCTTAGTTTAAAAGAAAAAGCGCCTACCTTCGCTAAGGGCTGGAGCTTCCCTCCCTAAGGTCTAAGTCTTTCTCCTCCAGGCACCGTCCTTTTTCTGCTGTCAAAGAACAGAAGAGGATTCCCACAGGTGGCGCGTGGAATCAGGCCAAGTGGCCGCACGGGCGTGGCCCTTTCCCGGCGTTTGCCTGCTGCCGCGTCTCCACTCATTCCTCTTCCAGTCTGGAGGCACTTCAGCACCCCGTTTGTTTCCGTCTCCATCAAGCTCTGGGGTCTCTCCTCATTCCTATTCACATCTTTCCTCGTTTTTCTGCCTACGATTTGAGCAACATAACCAGATAGTAACTGTTTTCTGCAGAGCATGTGTCGTTTTGGTGGCCCAGCCTGTGCAGCCTTCTGTATGTTAGGGGAATGTTCCCCACCTCATCCATCATGCCTGGCAGGAAACAGAGGCCAGTCTCTGCTGATAACACCGCGTTCTCACTCTTCCTCCCTCCCCCGCGGCTGGGCCAAAGGCAGGAGATCTCAGCTGTCCTTGTGAGACCCCCTCCTTCACACATCGACGCAGGCGCTGGTGACACTGCAGGAGAGATGATGAGTTCACTCCCTGGAGAAGCGGCAGGATCCTGGTTTGCCCGCCTGGATTCCTGGCATGATGGAGCAGAAACAGGGCTCTCACCAGTCCCAGCTGCAGTACCCTGGCCGCTTTTCCACTGGTGGCCCTGGAGTGTCTTGTAGCAGTGCTGGTGGTTATGGGCTTTGCTCCTGGTAGCTTAGCTTCGCGTTTTCCAGCTCCCCTCAGAGCTCCAAGTCCCAGACTGTCTCTGCTGAATCAACTAGGGTTAATCTCTGCAGCTTGCTACTAAAAACTAACAACCCAGACGTTACCCTCGTCAATCTTTTAACCGTTTCTGTTTCTCCTAAGTCAGCCTGTCCCCGTTTGGGCTGTCTGTGCAGACTTTCTACACGGCCGTCTCTTACATGCAGACCTTCACCTTCGTTTGTCTTGGAGATGCCCAGTGGCTTCTACACCAGGCAGATCGTTCACTGTTTTATGTATCAGACTGAGTTGCCCCACATTTTCCAACCTTCAGGTGTTCTCTGTTTCTTTAGCATCCAAGTACAATAGTGATAGCACCTATTCAGCACGTATCCGCCCCCTCCTAAATATTTCTCAGAATGCTTGGAGGGCTCTGAACACCTTTTGATTGCCTCCCCCACACACCTCATGCCCGCATAGCCCCCAGATTCAATCCCAGACACTACTGCAGGCCGCTCTTCTCCCAGCTTACCTCCCAGGACAGGTGGATTCCCAGGGCATGCTACCCAAGGTGACCCTGAATTATAGACTTGAGCAGGTAAGAAGGAAACCACCGTACAGAGGAAGCACATTTACAGCTGTGATCTTGAAGAGCATCCCTACTGCCTGGCCCAAGAAGCCCCCTATTTCAGAGGACACTGCCGGACATGTCTGCAGAAACTCACTTCCATTTGTGAATAAAAAGTTGGTTGTTTGTATTTTACCATGCAAAGAAATAGGGAAAACTCAAGCGCAGACCTCACTAACCTCACTGAATTCACAGAGACAGCTGCATGTTATTCTTAATATGCTCGAATATAGATGTGGTGGTTCACTTCTGCAGTTACAAGATCTTAATTTTAATAAATACCACTCCTTTTTCTTTGGGAAGTGGAATTAATACTCTAGGGTAAACTAGAAATGCTGAACTGTTAATAGCCTCACTAGAGTTTTACTTCTTGCTATGATACCTTCAACAATTTAATCTTGAGAATTTAGTCTTAGGCAGAGTAAAATATCCCAATATAGGTTCCTGAGTTTGAAGTTCTTTTAAGTGTTATTCAAAAATAGGAGAATCTTTTTGTCCAAACTCCGAGAAGAGCATGAGCCCAAATCAGTTAAAAGACAAAGCAAATAATTATCAACACACATACATATATTTATATATATTATTTTTTTTTGTAAAGATGAGTTTCCCTCTTGTTGCCCAGACGGGAGTGCAGTGGCACCATCTCAGCTCACCACAACCTCTGCCTCCCGGGTTCAAGTGATTCTTCTATCTCAGCCTCCTGAATAGCCAGGATTATAGGCATGTATCACCTCACCTGGCTAATTTTGTATTTTTAGTAGAGATGGGGTTTCTCCATGTTGGTCAGGCTGGTCTCGAACTCCTGACCTCAGGTGATCTGCCTGCCTTGGCCTCCCAAAGTGCTGGGATTACAGGTGTAAGCCACCATGCCTGGTCATAAAATTTTTAAAAATTGTAATGACTTAAAAATAATTATGACATTTTCTCATTTATATTTGAATGCTTGGCATTTCATGACTTTTGAATATGATATTGATTTTGTTCCTTGTGACATAAATGCACAATTCTGTCTTCCAGTCTTTGGCTACAGTCTGTTTTAGTATGTTCTATATTTTAGAAAGATTTCATCCATTCTTTAAGATTATAAAATTCCCCACATTGAATTAGAGCAGATGATTTAGATTTCTGCACATTTAAATAAACTTATTTATCTAAAATTTGACATGTAGAGCCAGCGATAGATACTTTGCTAACACGGATCACCGAAGTGCATTCAGTTATCCATAGTCCCCCAGCAGACATTCGTTGTGGATTTTTTATTTGGAATCAGAGCTTTTTATTATTACTCTTTATTTTAAAATTGTCTGTTCACTTAAAACAAGGCGTGTTTTGCCAGTTGGGATCCGAACTTTTTGGAGTAATTGGGAAGTAAATAAACCTATGCCACAGCTGGGCAATATTCTAAATATTTCAAGAACTTTGCAGATAGCTAAATAAATGGCTCACTACATCATGCCGAGTTTTCATGAAACTGCCTCTTTAGAGACGGACTTGATTATTCAGAGAATAATCCGGCACCCCTCGTTCCCATCAACCACCCCTTCTTCTGTATTCTTTCTTCAGCTGTCCCCACCCCCACACTTAAAGCAGGACTGCCGGCATCTCTTTCCGCTGTCACTCCTGGTTTCCAGGCATACGACAAACCCTATTTTCTCGCTTGCTTAGACCATGCCTTTAAGTCTTGATTCAAATGTTTTTTGTTTCTACTCAATAATGAGTTGAGGAAAAATTCCATTTATCTTTGATAGAAAAGTTAAACACATTTTAGACTAACAGCCAACACCTTTCAGTATGTCTGTTCGATTCTTTGTTTGCCAAACATTCTTCACAGTGCTCGTACATAAGTGGTTTTCTGTGAGAGCATAGGAAATGCTCACATCCCTCGCTCAGGTCTTCACATGATCATAATTTACCTATATTCTTGTTCCGACTACCATTCGGTATCAGTTAGGTCTGGGCCTCTGTTACTAAGTAGAAAATGTTAAATTTATCGATATAAATGTACTTTTTAATTAAAAAAACCAAGATTGTTTTAGAACCTGAAATGTGAGTTTTACTTCAGATAGTCAACATCAAATAACATTTAGAAATAGAATGCCCCTTCCCAAGAGTAACAGCTGACTTAGTTTTCATGAATATCTTGATTGTGAGCTACTTCAGTGATGACGTATCTGACAAGGTGCACTGAATGGCAATTCAGCCTTTCGATTTTATGGTTTTTTCATGGTTCTTCGTTTGTATTGATAGATATTTAAAATAAAGATACTTAAAATGCATTACTTAAAGTAAATGCATTTACTGAGATGTATCCTTTGTAACACTCTAAACAGCACACCAGAAAGCCTGTTTCTGTAGAAAATGGTGATCCACTCTTCGACCCAGTGCTTAAGCCATTGTCTGGTTGAAAGTTACATAAATTAAGGAGGCTGAGGCAGGAGAATTGCCTGAACCCAGGAGGCGGAGGTTGCGGCGAGCCGAGATTGCGCCATTGCACTCCAGCCTGAGTAACAAGAGCGAAACTCCGACTCAAAAAAAAAAAAAAGAGAAAGTTACATAAATTAGCATTGGTGTGAAATCTCTTCAGCTAGCCGTATACCATTAAGTAAGTTAGTGCTCTCATGTTATATCAGTTCCTGGTGTATGACTTAGAGCTAATTAGAAGGTATCTTGGGTACTGGGACGATTCCGTCCATTCTACTCTGTCGTTACAGTGAAATGCACATTTCCCCTCATCTTAAAAGATTGAATAGCATTTCTTTTAAAAAATGAAATAAAATGCCAGCTGGTTAAAAGAGGGAAAAAATCTAGTTGGTGTAATATTCTCCGCATCAACAGCACCGTCCCTGCAGGGTATTGATTTTTCCATGCGTCACTCAGCTCACAGTCTTGACTAATGAAGGCAGCAGGCAGTGTGGATGATCCCCAGGCTATGAATGATTCAGAAATCCGCCTTTTCATTTTGTGGTGAAATGCAGCAGACGCCTTTGACCCTTTCTGAGCCTAGTCCTGCTCCATCCACATGGGCTGCAAGGCCTTGGACAAGTCCTTGGGCCTGAG